TTGGAAAATGTGGTTCTAATGAGAAGTGTGTGATGGGATCTCCTGATGTTACGGGCACGGTGAGCACACAGATATTTGCTCATCGTCTACTTTCAGATATTGTTTATCTTTTCCCTATAATTGAAACTTTATAGGCATTTCTTGATTTTGAGCCAGGTAGCTTTTAAACAGTCACCTTCTGATTAAAAATGTGTTTAATGCCTTCTGTTCTGCAGGCTATAAATATCTCTTGATTAATTTAATTTTGGTTTGAGAATTTTTGTCTTTATGCAGCTTGTTCTCTTTCCATCTTACGATGCCACAACTGGTTTTGCACTTCTAACTGTGCAGCTTGTCAGAGCTTTTTCTGGGCTTGGTATCTTTTCTTCTGGGAAAATCTTCACTGCAGTATTATGGACCGCATTGTTATATCCATAAATTGCATTTTGTTAACTGATTCATTTGTTCAGGTAACAGGTTTGTGATCGTGCTGAATACAGGAACAAGGAAATGGCTCAAAGGAGAGTTTTATTTAGGATACTTCCGTAAGTTATCTTACAGTATTAGAAATTTGTGTCAGAGGACGGTTTAAAATCCATCTCCTGAATTATAGTTCAGTGCCTTAACTTTATTCCATTTGTGTTTTCTAACCCTTTTTATATCTTCCCAAAGATACAACTTTACCCTTCTTCCTCAGAGGTTCTACCCTGGCATGAAATTACATTTGTTTGGTTTGCACTTCATTTCTTCTTACTCAGCAGAAAAAGGGAAGATGGATCATACTTCAGCTTATTATGAAGCGATACGAAAGTAGTAGTAAATTTATGGAGTCCTTTTTAGTTGTCAGTGCATAAAGGTCGCGTAGATTATAACTGGGATAGGATGTTCTTTATTTCATAACTTTGTGATGACTTAGCCTCAGTCTGCAAGATGTTTGCTCAGTGTGCTGAGTTCTCTGGTGTCACAAAAGCAGCAGGCATCGGCCACAGCCTTGCACTTGGTGTTCATCACAACTTAAAGGGCATGCTATGAATGTGACCAGTGAAATAACTTACTGCTGTGCTGCAGGGGGGCCCTCCAAAAGGACTGCCAGAATAGCTGGGAAAATGTGCCATTTTGGCCCTTGGTTCGTTAATTGGCTGTTTCACAACAATCTGTGCTACTTTTTTGGATTACAAACTTCTTAATTGGTTTACTTTCATGGATCTGTTTCTGAGGCTCAAGGATGCTGAAAACAAATATTATGAGTAGATCTGAAATGATGGCCCGTGTCTGAACTATTGCTGTTGGTGACCTAAAGGCTGCAAAGGATACAGATCATTGGTGTCAAGTGTTTCATTTGTCTTATGACTGATTGTACCAAGTTGCGTTGAGCTAAACCTAAAATACTGCTTCTGGTGATGACTGCACGGTCAAAATGTGTTCGATGAGTAAGGCTCTGTTGTATCTTGGCATTTCCAGATCAACTCAACACCGTGGCAGATACTTCCATTGCATTAATAAAGCCATAAAATAACACTGAAACATAAAATAACATAAAATAACACTGAAATTAGAGTACTAGTCTGGCTCTGTTTATTCATGTGTTTTTCGAGTTGGAGAGGAAAATCCAGTGAAGCTGATTTTGCTATGGGGGCTTTCAGTATTGCAGTGCTTTTCAGACTCTGCAGGAAATTTTTTTTTTTTTTTTGCTTTTTAAAGAGTAACGCTTCCCACAAGCTTATCCAAACTATACAAATATTTTTACAGGCCTTAAAAATGTTTACTAAAAGTTTGTTTTCACAGAACCTGAACTTCTGGCCCAGTATGAGGCTGTAGGAGTTGGTGTGCTTTTTTTTTTTGTCAGGAGAAAGTCACGAAGCATAATGTCTGTACTGCAGTAATTAATACTACTTTTCAGATATTTTTCAGATATTTCACACAGCTGTTTCTTGTTAAGTGTGCGGTGAAAACTGTATGCTTGGGCACATCTGAAATGACCATGTTCCCCAGTCCCTGCCCAGAGCACTTCTCCATATTCTTGCTTCCCCAGAGGGCAAGGACTTGCACTGAAGGTTTTTGAAGCTGTTCACAAATCTGATTTTGGTCTAAAAACTTAGGAGGGAGGTATCTTGGATACTTGATTTTGGGATGAAATTAAACATTTCACCTAACATTTTATGACTGCAAGAGGTTTCTGTATTCCTTTGAAGTCTGGAGTTATTAGTGAATTATGAGAATTGTTTGTTGGTTTTTTTTTCTTTTCTTTGTGCAAAATGGCAACAGACACACAATTCATAAGAAACCATTTTATCTTTCTTTAGAGTGCAGTATTTGTATTAATATGGCTTCAGTTGTGTATACCAACTAGTGGATTTACAAGTAACTCTTACTGATCTCTCTCTGTATCTAGGGAAAAATCAGATGAAGTAATTTTAATGCTTAAAAAAGGGTTTGCAGCAATTATCGTAAAGATTTCATGTTCCTAGTATTCTTATTGTTGGAGTTTCTTCAGTCCTGTCTTTAGGAGCAACAGAAGTAATCCAAGAAAGTTTCATATGCATTGCAAAAATCTTTTTTCCCCACAACCAAAAGCCAAATAAGCACCAGCCTCCCTCTGAATCTCAAGAGATGGTGCCGTTCCAAAATATACAGTCGCTTCAGGCATTTATTCCAGTGGCTTAAAAGGTCAGGCTTTTTAAAACTGCATCATTACATAGCAAAACCTCTATACTCCACAAAAGCAGGTAGGTGAATGAAGCTGGTCTCTGCGCTGATGTATACCAGTATTACCCATCAGACTTTCCCCGCTATGCTGTAATACCAGTCTTGCTGTACAGAACCAGGTACGTGTTTCTCATGAAGGCTTCAGAGGAAGAAATGGGCAAACACAAAGTGATGGAAGTCCTTGGCTGAGCACTTTTGAGTGAATGGAGCACAGCTGTCAGTTCCGCTAGCTGGGCTTTTATCGTGGTCAGATCTCTGTATAGTCTGTTCACATAAAAAATGTTTTTAACTCATTCCCAAAATAATTTATGGGATGCAAGCAGAAGGCAGGATAAGTTCCAGTTCAGTTCGTTTTTGGAAACACCAATAGTCTCGCACCACATGAGTCACATCCTTTGTTCGGATACCTGATGGACACATAACCAGTACCAGCTTGTGACATCCTGCTTGTTCCTTCTTTAGCTGCTGCAGTTCTTTGACAAAAGTCGTCTTTGTTTTTATACATCCCAAGAAGGTGAGAAGCTGTTTCTCAGCTCTCCCTCATTTTTGATGCCCGTGTTGCAGTGATCTTGCTTCCTGTTATGGGGAGTATAGTTGCTCTTAAAAATCCCCGTTTAGCGGAACTGTGGATGAAAGCACAGTATTGCACCAAAAAGTAGTACTCTTCTGGTCTTGCTTCTAATCGATTTATTATTTTTTTTAAGTGAGAGGGTTTGCAGATGCGGGTTTCACTGGAAATAATGGCCATCCAGAATTGAGGAAAACCTCGGGCAGGATTTTGGGAGATCCAGTTTCTTGTGTTCTACTGTAACTGAAATGGTTGTGTCTGTTTTTGGCAGAAATCAGATTGAATTGTACTGCCTGTGCAAGCTGGCTCGATGGGATGGAGCTGCAGGGAATGGACATATTTTCTGTGAAAGGGGGGAAGGACCAAGTGTCAAGCTGCAGGCAGTCGAAAGAGCTCATATGAGTTGCTATATGGGCCTTTTACCCCTTTTTAAGTGATGTTTTAAATAATCAAAGTTAGGTTTTCAGAGGGAGATGTTCTAAAAATGGTTGGAATAGAACAGGATCTTCTGTGAGGCGTAGGGCAATGTGTGCTTCGCTTCCTTTTCCTTTTCTTTGCTAAAAAAAAAGGCAGTTCCAACACAGTGTTTAGATTTCTTTTCAGCCACAAATACCTAAGCCACGGAAAAGGTGGCTGGTGGACTTTTCTCTGGTATTTGGAGTAGTTCCTTGTATTGTAGTATTTCTGGTATTCCCCATCCTGTGTAGCAAATGGTTGAGAAACCTGAACTTGGAGGTACAATGTTACAGATACTCCTGTTGAAGTCAGGCTGAAATGTACCGTAGATGCAACTTCCTGGCTCTGCTGTTTTAACCACTTAAAGGCTTGATTCCTTTTTTGTTTTGAATACAATGATGTGAACAACCCAGGAAGAAAAAAGAAGAAAAATAGCAAACAGCTTATCTGGATTTAGGTGGAGGCTGCTTTTGGCTCATAGCTTGAAACAGGCAAAGGGGAGAACATTTGTGCGTTAATCTAAACTAGACGAGAAATCAGTTTAGAAGACTTCGTGTTAATCCACAGGTAGTAGCAAAAAGCTATGTGATACCACCTGACAGGTTTTAAAAAAAAAACCATGACTGTTCAGTTTTTTAAAAATAATTGGTTCAAATAGAAACCCCCTTTTCAGGTTCCTAATTTGTATAGCACCATTTCTTGTGTCTTTGCTATCCTCATCCACTTTGCAGTTATGTTTGTTTATTCTAATCACTTGTTGGATGTATGATGTAAACTAATTGATACTGTTCTGTTGGGAACTGCTAGAATATTTAGCAAGTGATACAGTCCTGAATAGTCTTAATCATAGTGCAGACTCGTGCCCCTCTGACAATCTAGCTGTATAGAGTTGCATGTGTTCAATGTCCCATGCTGTTCTACGAGCATTAAGAAATACCTTCAAAAGAAAATTGACATGAAAAATTTCCATTTTCTATGAGCAGTTGACCATGCCATAAGTGGTCCTTAAAGGATTTTTATGGATTTTTTTTTAATTGCTTTTATGTGGAATGAAAATAGGATAACTCGCTTGGCTTATTGTTGCCAATTTGACAATAGCTGCTTACTTTGTAATGAGCATTTTCTTTGAAAAATGGGGATCAGAAAGCGAGAGGTTTAAAGTTTACTCTCTTTCCCGCAAGCTGAAGCTCACGCTTTCTCTGGCTTTAGGTTTGAAGCAGTAGGCTTCACTGTCAGGTGCTGAAATACCACGATAGCTGTGAAAATTTACTTTTGTCTTTTTCGTTCACAGTCAAACTGCAGCTTCAAGCAGAAGAGAGAGGCGTGGTGTCAATCAAAGGTGTAAGCGCGAACCGCTTTCTGGCTATGAAGGAGGATGGCAGGTTACTGGCCTTGGTAAGCAGCATTTTCTTAATGTTTATCTTGTATGTGTCTGTCTATTGGTGGGTCCTCTCCTCACTCTGTATCAAGCAGGACTTACTCAGCTTCTCTGCGTGTGATTTATCAGGCAGAAATTAGCTCTGCACAACTTTCGTCAATTAATTGAACTATGAACTAGGAAGAGATGGGTATGTCTGCCCCCGCCTAGAAACTGCAAAATTTAGCTGGAATAGCCTGTCTGAGAGAAGAAAACTATAGTGGTCATGTATAGAAAGAAACTATAAGAACAAATGAAAAATGAAGTCTCTCCCTTTTTCCCCCCTCCACAAGTAATTTTTTCCACTTTCACAGAAAGTGATTGTAAAGAGCCATTTAAAGCAGAAGTAACACCAATTTTTTAAAATTCTGACTTTTCTGGTTTTGATAGTAATCTGTAGATACTGTTTTCTCATTTTACTCTGTGTAAAGAATCACGTTTTTTTGGTCATGTATACTTCCAAACTAGAAAACTGGCGAGAAAAACATTTTTGAAAATGTGATGATAAAATTAAAAAATAAAGTTATTAAATGTAGGTAAACTAAACTGATCTCTACTGAGACTAGTTTTAACTCCATGCTTTTTACTGCCATCAGCTTCATTTTTAACTGTGTTTTCAAGCCAATATGTTTAGCAGACTGAAACTTAATAAGGTCTCCTAGAGCTAGATTATAATTTTGCTCTAAGAGCTGCAGTTAACATTGATTTTGCTTATGAGGCATCGATGCTGTAAATCTCTCGTCCATATTTATAACTTTCAGTGCAGACAAACTTTCAGCCCTTGTGAAGGACCGCTGCAGGGCATCCTACTAGAATTTCAGTTTGAAATAATCCCTGATGCTTTGGTATCTTGAACACAGCCCCATTCAGCTTCTGTAGAAGTCCCCACCAGGAACGGGTGTTAATAATAAAGTGCATTCCTAACCCCAGCTGAACTACAGCTAATGAAAGACCCGTGCCAAGGGCTGCAGAAGTGGCTTCTGATTCGCCTCAGTTCTGCCTCTGCCTCACTGAAATGAGTCTGAAGACAAACCAAACACTTCAGCAGCCTTACACGAGCCGGGGTCCCCGGTGTGCTCCTCAGCACCGCGTGTCTCTGGCTCCAGGAAGCCCATTTTGTGTATGGCTGCGAATACAGTTAAGGAACCTGTTTCAAGTTACAGCGTTATTTACTCGGGTATTGTGTGACAGCTCAGTTAAAGAAAATGTGAGTAGTCGTCCACTGTGCTATTCTTGAATTAAGGATAATTGGGAATTTCCTGTGGCGCTGGCGTGGTGGCATTCGGCTTTCCGTTCAAATTGCCCTCCGTACCCTGAGAGGCAGTGAACAGTCAAAATAGGGCATTTAGCACCATTTGTAAAATTATAAACACCTGGATGTGTTTATATTTGGCATTTCCAACCTATTGCTGCAGGGTGGGTTTCGGTTGTAGAACATGCTTCCCTTGCAGCTGTATGCAGCGATTTTTATCTGCTTAGTTCTTGTAAGACGACGTGCTCGGAAAGTATCTGCCGTTCACTCGGAATTACTCTCTCAAAATCTGGTACAGTTGCGTCACTTTGTCCTTCTCACTTGAGCTTATAAAACATTGGTTTGGTTTTGCTTTGTTTCTGGAAGTGGGTGTTACTTGAATTGTATTTACTGCAAACGCTACTTCCTACAGCTCTTCATTCTTGCTATTCATAGGTGAAAACTCTGCTCTTAAGATTTTGTTCTTCAGCTTAAGGAACACTTGTGCAATTTCATGATCAGTTTCTGCAGTACAGGCCATGTTTTCAACCAGGATTTCTGTACTATGACTTCCAACAGTTTGTGGCCAGTTGTGCCTCTACTGTTTTCTGCCTATAAACGTGTTCATGAAACTGTTCCTAATTGCCAGCACTTCTTTTTCAGTTTGAGCAGCGCTGTGTTTCAGGGAGAGCTTTGAAAGAGCGTCTGCTGGAAATCATTGTGGTGAAGTGATCTCGTCAGTGCACATGAATTCATATCTGCTGAAACCTTTGGTTATTTCTTTTACAGCGTTACGGAATTTTAATTTCTAAGCACCTATTTAGTTCTCTAATCCACTGGTCACTCAAGTACTATTCTGTCCTTTTTAATATGTTTTGTTTCTTCTTTTTTATTACTTTTCAGTGTCAACGGTCGATTTGTCTAGTGTCCTTGTTTTATAAATATATCAACATCTTCAAAAATACTTTTGCAAATTATTATTCAGTCCTGGTTTTTGTGCAGTTGGATGTTTATGTAATTACTTTGTTGAGACATGCCTTTGTGGTTTGTTCTGAGTTTTGCAAAATGATTTATTGCGTAGCCCGCATATCGCTGCTTACCCTGGTGATTTGCCTGGTGGTGCAGTGGATCGCGCTCTTGTCGGGATGGTACAGCTTTTAGTTTAGCAGTTTCATGCTCTCTGTTTAGTAACAGACTCCGTTGTTGTGGGGAAGAGGTAATCTTTACCAGGTCAGTCACTGGAGGAAATGGCAGGTTGTTAGAGCAGCTAGTCAAAACTTCCCCTTGGAAAATGCTGTTTTAACTAAAAATATTTGTGCAGAAATGTATCTATTCCATCAGATTTTTAATGGAAAAATTGAAACATTTTACTTCTGATATGGCTCACTTTGACTTTCCAGTTTCATTTAATTATAATAATGGAATATTTTCATTTTACAGAATTAAATGGTTTTGATCATTTAATTTCATGAAGAAGTTTATCAAAATTTCCGATGAAAGGAAGAATTGCACTTTTGACTAACTTCTATATTTCACGAGAAGTAATTTGTTATTTAAGGATACGACCTGTTTGTTCTGTCGTGCTTATGTGGTTTTGCTATGACCGGACAGATTTTGCCAGACTGAAGGACCTGACTTGAAGGGAAATTCTTCTTTTTTTGATGTTGTGGATTAAAACTATGGTACAAGAATATTTGTCAGAATAACCTTCATTTCCTGACCCTTCTGCAGTTAAAAAAGGCTAAATATGATCATCACCTTTCTCTGGTCACGCTCCATGCACTGTGGTAGTTACAGGTTAACCCTCTGGTTTCAGTTTTGAGAATGAACAAACTTAAGGAATTTTAATTCTTGATCTGAGTCCAAAATGTAAAAACTAGTTAATTGGCATAATGGAATACTAAGGCAGATGCATATTGCACTGAAAAATCAATCAATGGGGTGGCGTTTGGCTGTGCAAATGAGGGAGGAAGAACTTTCTAGTAGGAATTTGCTGCCGCTTTCAGTTAATTAATCTGCCCTGGGTGAATCACCTGGGGGGTTTTGGCAGTTGTTGTGGTTTGGTTACGGTAAGCGGTGGCACACAGCAGAGTGTGGTACCAGCGTGGCTATGACCAACATTGCTAATGGCAAAAACTCCTGTGTTTAGCGTTTTACTTAGTCGCTCAGACATCTCAAGTGTTCTCCCTTCCTTTCTCCTTTTTTATGAAGGGCTGTAGAGTTGCGGTAGTTCATGATGTGCTGTGAAAGCTTTCGCTGCCAGATCACCGCTTTGAATGCAGCTGAGACCACAGTGTATTTAAAAAAAAAACAACCCCATTGATATCAGGGTTTTTCCAGGGGCTGAGGTTCACAACCCGGTGACCGGCATCCCACTCTGCTGGGCAGCGGTCCAGCTTCCGAAATGTCGCCTTTGGCAAATGTTAAGGAATGCATAGGTCATAAAGCCTGAACTATCATTTGTCACCTAAATGTTCACTTTTGTGTCAAAATATTTCCAATGGCAACGTACTGTAGGAGACACTGCTATCACGTATGCTTTGCGGAGAAATAAGAACTTGAGTCTCCAGAGCGAATCACATGGCACATTTCAAAATATCTTTATGAATGTAAAAAAAAAGAAATCTTTTTTCTTTTTATCTCTCTCTCTCTTTTCACCCTTTTTTGATTATTTTTTTATAACACCCATAAACTGCCTGAAAATCTGTCTGAGGAGTGTAATCTGTTTTACTTTTTTAAACCTCTCTTGGCACTTGCAGAGGTGCCACCGCTTCGGGTAAGAGGCGAAGGCGAGGCGTGAGCCGGCTGCTGTGGTCTCTTTGCCAGAATTTTCAGCTTGGGCAATTGTGCTGAACTTGCCTAAACTCTGCTTAAAGTTTGGTTTTGTTCTTAAACGCTTCTCTTTTTTTAATATGGTTTCTGTGCACTCTTAAAGCTACTGTGATCTGTTTCAGGCTGGATCTGTGGCTTGAGATGATTAATGCATCTGTTTTCACATTGCTGGAATGAAAGCCATTAAAATAGGATTTATCTTGAGGAAGATTTATTTAAAATACAAATCATAGGAAAATTGTTAATTTGATTCCTGCTATTTGAAATGTAAAAATATCAGTGAGCTACAGAAATGAGAAATTGCATATGGATTTTCTCTTGTAAGTTCTTTTCCTTAGAAACCAGAATTCGTATCTGAAAATGACTGAAGTGGAGGAAAAACCCCTCTATTTGAAGACGTGTTTGGAGACAAATTTTATTCCAGACTGCATGTGAATGACTGAATTGCTTGTAGCTACAGAAACTTGGCATGTATGAGGAGTTACTCTTCTCTAGTATGTGCATATTCTCTTCTCTATTTTTGTGCATACTGTATGAAGTCTAGGTGTTCTGAGCTCACTTTCCAGTTCTAGGTGGATACTTTATGTATTCATGAGTATTGACAGCAGATTGTAACGAGAATCCCTGCTCGTTTAGGGAATTGCTTCACATTCCCTGTCTCCTCTCCAAGATTTCACATGCTTCCTTTCTAATGACTAGCTTTCCTCCTCCTCCGGCATTCCCCAAAATTTTCTGGGTAAACGAGTATGACTGAATTGAGGGACTGACAGATGGTGTATATGAAAAGAAAGTGCCCCCGCCCACTCCAGTAAGTTCCTGTGGTGTTGACCTTCTGCCATCTTTGTAGTTGAGAAAATACTGTCTCTTGCTTAAAGCACCGGTTCTGCAGGCGGGTTTGCTACTCTGCCTGCCGAGAGCGCAGTGCTGTCCGCTGACAGGCGCTCTGCTGTTGTGAACGTGCTTTGGCATAAACGCAGTTAAACACCCTCAGGCATCCTCTTCCTACAGAACGAGATCTTACTTGAAGCTGTTACTTTTTGAGAACAGAGGAACCATGTGGTTTCTTGGTGGTGGATTTCAGAAAGTGAATAAACATTCCTGATTTCTGTGGACTATGAACAGCTATAAATACCAGTCATAGTTAAATTAGCTTGGTGGCTAAGTCCCCAGGCAGTAATAGCTATCCAGCAGAATTTGTGGGTTCAAGTCTTGCAACAGATGCTGCCTGCCTCGCATGATCTCACTGACAGGAATGGGATCATTCGTGTGAAGAACCACCCTCTTTTTTACTTGTAGGTGTGAAGGCATGTTATAATTCCATATAGGTGGATTTGGTTTTGAAGACTTACTTCCAGAAGCAGAATAATTCCATAGATGTACTTGTAAACGCTAGTAGAGTATGCTTGGTCTCTGTGTGGAACAGACATCTTTGCCAAGTCTGATCTTTCCTTAAAATTATTTTACAAGTTTTGAATTTAAAAATATCTTGAACAGGTGCAGGCTTGCCACTGTTTCAGAGCACTATAAATACAGACTTTAGGACAGCTAAACCTCAGAATTAGAAAAGAATAGGTAAAGGCTGAAACTATGGCATACTGTTTCTCTAACTGATAAAAAGGTTAGTTTGAGGAAGGCAAGCGAAATAGTGCCTTTTGTCTTATATCCCGCTTTTCTTTTTGCTTAAATTATAACCTAGGATGAGATCACAAAACTGCTGAGCTTGGAAGTGGGGATCTATCAGTAAGTGCCCAGGGACAGGGTTCTTCGATTGTCGAACCGAGTCAGAACAAAGACCTACACAGTGACAACAAACTAGAATCTGCTTGGTCTGTGTTAAAGACAGTAAATGAATTGTAGTTAAAAACTGTATTTAACAATAACACTTTACACATGAAACCTTCAATGTGAATTTCTTACATTTTCAGTAGGTTAGTCCCATGAATTGGGAGAATTGATTTGTTGTGACAGAATATCAATAATCCTTTTCTTTTTCCCTTTTAGAAATGTGCAACAGAGGAATGTTTCTTTTTTGAGCGTTTGGAATCTAATAACTATAACACTTACCGATCGCGGAAATACTCTGACTGGTACGTGGCACTGAAAAGAACTGGACAGTACAAACCTGGACCAAAAACTGGACCCGGACAGAAAGCTATCCTTTTTCTTCCCATGTCTGCTAAAAGCTGATTTCCATGGCGGATTCTGAGCACATATGCCACACAGCGCTAAAGACATCGAGCTTCCTAGTCCTCTCTGAAGTAGCAAAAATATAAGCAATTATTTGCTGATATTAACTATTTTTGCAGTTAGCAGATTAAGACTGTTATACTGACTTTATATTGCTCTTTAAACCTGTTGTGCCAGTGTGTGTGGAGGTAAAATTACTCGGAAAATACATCTTCAGGATTAATAACACTTCTGTTTTCTGCTAGATATATCTGTGTAGAACTATTTTATTTACCTTATGTTTGCTTTACAGAGTAAAGGAAAACAAATCTGATGCACACTTACAGCAATATTTACCTTTAAAAATAATTTATATCTCTATAGCTTATTAGAGAATAAATAATTACTTTCTAATAATTACCTAAAAAGAATTCCATGGATAATTTTAACATGGTCTAAATAACACTACAATAATAATTCTAAATTATTAATATAATGAAATGTGAAATTACTGCTATCATGTAATGTTTCTGTAGGACTCGGGCAGCTCCCTGTGGTATAGTTTGTAGAACCGGCCTGTGTAGACAGCTGGAAACTCTCTCATGGTTATATCAATCTTATCAAACCCTTCCCGGTATCCGTAAAGTAAGAGCTTAGCTACGTTGCTTGTGATGGGGGTAGCGTCTCTCGTCCTAGCAAGCTCATCGAGGTCCATCCACTCGCACCTCAGACACTCCTGCTGGCAGAAGCTGATGTTGAAGGAGGAGGGCTGCAGCCGACAGATGATGTACATATCCGACTTCCCAAAGGCTCCGGGATGTTCGTGTTGCTGTCTTACGCTTAGGATGGACTTGAACTCTGACTTGATGCCAGTCTCTTCGAAAACCTCTCGAACTGCTGTGTCTCCTAGGTGAAAAGAGCAATCCTTACAATACATATAAGAATAGCTTAACAGTCTAAACCTTTTGATCATGGAAAATTTCTAACAAAGCATTCTCTGTTCTGCTTCATAAGCTTTTCAGAATGTAAGCCTGTTTGTTTCGACAAAAGGATAAGCTGATTATTTTGGTCCCTGAACAATTCTAATTGCTGCCTGCTTTGCTTGCGTATATCCTACAAAATGATGAACTTGAGAAACTTTTGATAATATTGTACAGGGTGTGGGTTTGAAGTGGACATTCTGATGGTCGCTGGCTCCATAGATCTCTTAATCCAAGATAGCATTGCACCCTCTTTTCAGTCCTTTGACCCTTCGCCCCCGTCTCTCTCCCTGCCTCTACCCAGTTCCGGGTTCAGACCCCGTGCAGCTGAACCCCTGTATCTCAGATCACTCACTAAGTTCTATTGCACTTTGCTGCAAGATGTAACAAAATGGATAAGACTACTATTTGCAGAAAGTGAAAGCTGGCACTAAGTCCTTTTCAAAATGCATCTTAAGTGTCTAGTGACATTTGAAACGTGCTATAATACCAGTATAGCACGTAGCTTGTTCTTGCAGAAAATAGGCTGCATCCATGCTGCATGTGTACATTTTGTGTACATCAGGCGCAGTGATATGTGTTACAAAAGTAGCCATAACTTCAAGGGTCGAGAGGGTCTGTGTACTGCAAGCGCAACCAGAGAATGACCCATCTATCCAGCACTCTTCAAAAGAGAAGATTTTTCTCTTGAATAGTGGCTTAAATTGAAGAGCCCAAATGAGATTTTTGATACTTCACTAATTTCCCCAAATTCTGCAGTTTCATTGTAGTCAAGTCAAATCCTACTTGTAGGCAAAATACTAGTTTTTTCCAAATCTGTGTAAACTCATAGTTGCATCTTGTTTGAGTGCTAAATGCATATAGCTGTTTTGCAGTGTTACCTGCTTCAGTTAGTTCATTCTCATTTTCAGTAAGAAATGAGTGTGTTGGCTTACTTCCAAAAGCAAAATACATTTGACAAGACTTAGAGATTTGCCTTCCTGTGGGAGCTTGCATCTTGATATGTCAGAGGTGACCAGCAGGAGTAGTTTCAAATACTGGAAATAATTTCAGGACATACAGTGGCTAGCAATACATAAACAAAATGATTTATCCAGCAGAGGCTAAACGACTCTATGTTAATGGCCCTGATTCTGCACATGCTTCTGCCTCAGCTCAACTTCCATCTTGCAATGGAATAAGCTGTGTGAGGTATACACCAAGTATATAGAGGGCTGTGTGGGATTGGAGAGCCATTAATACATGGTGCCTGCAAACATTTATGTTTGTGACTTCGTTACAGTATTAATTAGCTAAAAGGCTACTGCATGTGGGAAGAAGTACATGGGAGAAGGTACTCATTTACCATTGCTGACCCTTGGAGCGACTGCATTTTATGTTGGCCAGAGAGGCCTCTGCAGTCCTCTGGTTTAAAATAGAGGCTGTGAAGGAGACTCCATGTGGCAAGTGGTTTAACTATTAGGCAACAGGCTATGTTACCCAAAAGTGGTCAAAGAAGGTAAACAACTGAGGTCATGAGGAATGCTGAGGCAGGCTATGGTAAGAAAAATGAAATAATTAGGGATTTCATTTAAGCTTTAAGCTTTGCTTTTAGATAAAAGTGCCTTTTTCTGTTTCCCTTTTATTTAAATGTGTATGTATATATAAAAATATATAATGACAGTTAAACTAGAAGAAACAGTAGGGCTTGAGTTTCAGAAATATTCAAATACAGAAATGTCTGCACTTTGCTTAATCTGCATTATGAAACTGTTCAAATTACTTGCACAAGTCAGTTTGTACTCATTAAAATAGGCAACCATATATTTTTGTCACTTCATATAATCACAGGATCTTCAAGCATTGTAACTGCAGTTTGTAACTGTACATTGAAATGTAGTCCCTTAAATGACTGTGAGTTTATAAGGTTTGACGTAAGGATAAAAAAAGTAAAATGAGGCTCTATTATATTTTATGCTTCAATAATTTATATCTTCTTGTAATATTAAGATGTGATGCAGAGAATCATAAATTTTGTTATTATATAATTTAGTCGTGGCAGGAGAGGAGCTGTAAGAGACTTGTTTCCTCCCAGGTGTTTCTCAGTACCTACATCCAGGCCCCGGCCGGGATGGTCAGTGGCTTACTCGGCGTTCCTCTGGGGAAGCTGTTGCCAGTGCTGCTCCCTTCTTTCCCTCAGTACAAAAACCCCTCTGGTATCTCCTAGAAGTGAAAAGGAGCCTGGCTAGACAACACAGCACTTGAGATTCTCCTGAAAAGGTGAATCCATTTCACTACATGTATTTGCATTGTCAAGCAAATAATTTTGATTTCTATCACCGTGTTTGACAAAAAGACTTAAAAACGTGACGCATGAGTTATGAAAACTACAACTTGGCCGTATCCTGCTAACTAGAAATTGTCCACATATTGAAATAATGAACTGGAATACAAGCCCTCCACATGTTGTTGTAGGAGGACTGTTAAAAATAGCAGATCTTTCTAAGGTCTCGATACCCAGTTTGCCAAAGATGCTGCATTGCTCTGGGCAACGTTTTTGAGTTCTACATTTTCGAGTTACTGGAAGAATGTATTCATATCTGAATATTGATATGGGGCTAAATTAATGTGAGCATATACAACTTTTAAGATGTACCTAATAACAGCATTATAACTTAAGAACTAACCAGTGTGTGGATCATAATTTTAAGGGGCGAGATACAAGGAGAAAAAGCACCATTTTCTCTCTCTTTGTCAACACCCTCGTTTGTTCATCACTGCAGCAGTGTTCATCATCACCGGTGCTACTCTGGGTAGAGATGCATGAGAGGTTTCCTCCAATCAGCATTGTTTTTAATACAGAATTGCCTTATGTCTCTGGTTGAAAGTAGGTGCCTGCGACTCGGGTGCTGCACTTAATGCTGGTCCTGTGCCAAAGAGCTCTTAGTCTAAACAAATCAAATGAACAAGGGTGGAAGGAAGCAAGTGCATTATTTCTGTTTTGCATGTAAAAATGGAGAGGTGGAAATTTTTGCTCACTACATCATTGAGCTCACTGCCCTGGATTCCAGTGTGAGTTGAGAGCTCGCCATTTCAGTTTTATTTGGGTTATATACTGATTACCTTAGTCCTCTGCACTTTTGGCTCATATTACAGCATATCCAGCAAGCCTACAAAAAATAAGCTGGCTTCAAGCACTCATTTAAAAGAAATTGCGGAAAAGGGTAAATGTTATAAATACAAAGCTTCTCTGCCCTGAACATAATGTTACTCTGTTACCATTAAGGTCATGGGATCGTGTCACTTCATCTATTCACCATTAATTCAAAGAACCGATTAGTCATAGGAGTGATGCAGGTCACGCTGTATTTCAGCACTGTTAATGTCTTTATAATTCTGTTGACATCTGACCTGTTATCCTAGGACTTACCAATGTCTTCGCCCGGATTAGATAGACCTCCTGGAAATTTCCACGCGTTTAGAGTCTGTATTGGAGGAAAAAAATATTAATGAAGTACGCAGCCTGTTTTGTACACTGTAATATGAAGCAGACAATTAACGTGACTTTTTTTTTAGTCGAAGTTGCAGTATTATAATTACTCTTACAAACATCAGTAAGGCTTTAAGTAGGAACTTCTTTGTTCTTGCTAATGTGGTGATCAGAGGTATCTGATCACCAACAAAAACATCTACTGATTGAAAATACAAACTGTCTAACAGTCATTAGACAACACTGCTGCTAGATAACTAGACAAGAGTAGTTGAATATTAAAAAAAGCTGCTATAGACTATATAATCTTATATTTAATCACTAATGTATTCCACTTCCATGGTTTTGGCTTTTAAAAAATGTATATATATTTAATCTTACAAACAGGTATTACGATTGTAGTACTGTTCTATACTGCACTGGCTTTAAGATGACTTTGTGTGTCTGTAATAACCATTTAGTGTAACTTGTTTGTTTTCATGGAATACAAAAACTGAGGCCTTGTGTGTGATTTATATATAGAAACATTTACTGAATTGCAATAAAGTTCAGTCCTTAAAAACACAATTTGA